ACCACTAAGACTTAAATCTAGTCCTAGTCTGCTTGAGAAATCTGACCAAACTTGGTCTCTCAAGGAATAATTACAAGAGTTTAATCTTACAGATAGTGAAATAAAATTTGCTTCTAATCAAGCTATATCACAACTGTGATTTTTCACTTAGAATAAATTTGCACAAAGTGTATGAACAAAGAGTTTGTGAGCCCAGAATTTTTCACGTAGTTTCTTGCTTCTTTTTGAAATTGATTGGTTAGTTGGCTTGCAATAAATGTCCTTCTATATATAGTAAGAACAAAATGACCGTTGCTGCCTTCAAAAAGTGGAGAGCATTAAATGCTTGCGTGTTTCTTTGCACTATTCCATTTTCCAAGAACTAGCGTAGACACTTGAGTGCATGCAGCTGTCTTTGCATTAAATGAGAAAACAACACTTGTAAGAATATGTTTCCTGAAGCTTGACAAGACAAGTTGGCTTTAACGTTCTTTCAGAACTTGCTTCAATGTCTTGAATTCAGAACAAGCTTTACTCATCTTCTAAGCAGAGCTTTACTTGTTAAGAACTTGATCAGCGCTTGCTTTCAAATAACTTCTGAATAACACTTGCTTTCAAGTAATCTTCTGAGAAAGGAATCCTGCTAAATGTTAGAAGATACAATTAAATAAATTGTCTTACCAGAGTCAGCAAATGCGCTTAAAACAAAAAGGTTCTTTCATTAAAGAACTTCTTCATATGATTTTTAGCTCAGCACATCAAAATGCTTCTATCAGAACATTATCTGAAACATTCAAATACGTTCATCAGAGTATAAATTATCTAAAATATAATTTATTGTTATCATCAAAAATCTGAAATAGATCAGAACTAATCTTGTTCTAACAGCAAGCACGTCCACTAGGCCTAAGAGAAGAAGAGAAAGAGAACCGACCTTAAATGATGATATTATGGCTGCCATAATGGAACAATATGAGAGAATGCAGGCTATGCAAAATAACCAAAATATGATGATGCAACTTATACTGGCCATGCAAACTCGGCAGCAAGAATACGATGAAAGAAATGAGCGTCGGGATGCGAGATTAACTGAGGATATGGCAGCATTAACCGTACGCATGGATGGTTTCTAGGATTATATATACCATGTAGCTATGCCCCATCCTCCGGGTACACGTGGACGAGCACGAGGACGAGGAAGAGGACGCGATACCAAACAAGAATAAATTGATTTTGTTTCTCTTCCCGTTTTCTTTTTGTTTTTAAAGCATTGGGACATTGCTTGTTTCAAGCTTAGGGGAGTTAGTTAGTTTAGAAACTCTTTGTTGCTTTCTAAGTAGGCTTTTCTTTCATTTCCATTTGTAATAAAAAACGTCGTTGTAATTTCGAGTTCATTTATGCAATTTTTCCACTGTTATCTAATTTCCCACTTTCTTGAGCCATAACAAAATATTTTATGTTAGTTACTTGCATAGTCTGACGCATTCAAAGAATATATAGGTTGCTCACTTTCCAAAAGATATATGAGAAGCTTTGAGTGAAACAGAAGTACGATGGATACCCTTGCAACCCTCTAAATCCCCAGATTGCACTAGATCGATTTCAGTACCCTTTATACCCAAACCTTAAACATTAGCTTTAAAATAACCCCGAGTAGTTTATCTAGCAGTCAACACTGTCTTAAACACAAACTACGTAGGGAGTCGATGAATATAAGTGAGTGATACTGTATATTTGAAAAATATACGCTTTACTGTAAGAAAATAGGGAATGTACCAATTAAGTTAGGTGATCCTCACACAGTCGCTTAATCCAACAGATGTAGTACCTACGTGATATAACATAAAAACCTGTTGTCAGTTGGTTCAGAGGTGTCTGGTACTGAACTTGGTAGGGTGGACTACGGTCTGATCCCCCGCAACTTAAAATTGGGTGAATTAAAAGAGGTTACCGCATTCATGTTCTAGAACCTCGTGCTTAAAAGGATCATAGTCACTAACCAGCTACTCTACTATGTGCGTGTAAAGATAAAAGGCTTAATGTGATTGCGCTAGAATGAAAATGGGTAAAATTTAGCAAAAAGAATTAGGTTGAGCTATAATGGCATGACTGGAATTGGTCTGCACAATAAGGGGATGTTTAGTGTTATTACCGTATCTTTTGTGTCATGTTAAGCTTACATTTCTGCAAAAACTTAGACAACCTCTTATGATTCGAATTGTGTCATAAAATTGCATTTAACTTGTGCCTTATTTGTTTTTATACTGATTTTATTTCTTTAGGACAAGCAAAGGTTCAAGCTTAGAGGAGTTCGATGACACGAAAAGGTATAGCATTTTCCGTCTGAATTACATAAATTTAAATTTCCGATTCTTTGGTTATTATGTCACATTTTATCCCTTTTTGTAGTTTTTGAATCATATTTCAGGTACTTAGCATTTGCAAGGCATAAATAAGAAAAGGAAGAAATAGAATGGAAAAATGAAGAAGAAATGGTTTTAAAACAGCAAAAATGCAGTTCTGTAGCAGAGAAGTGTGCTGCCCGCCACAAAGGCGTTACGACCGAAACAAGTTAAGTTTCAGTTCCCCTCAGCATACTCACGTTATGACCAGGACAAATATGGATTACGTGCCACGATCCAAAGTAGTTACGAAGCCTTCGCTATTGTAGCATACTAAGCGCACGTCACCTGGATTTTCTCCGCACATGAAGAACGTGAATCATGGAAGTTACCTATTTTCCCTCAACAAAAATGGACTCTATAAAAAGAAGCAGTTACCAACTCTCACGCTCTCTCTCCCTCTCGCTTGCACCTTGAACGAAAATTGTTACAAAGTTTACTTTTCTGCTGAACATTATTTTTATTGTATTCTGCTTTTGATACTCTCGAGTTTTAGAATTCCAATATTAATTTTCCAATTGTAGAACCACTTAGGTAATAAAAACCTCATTGCCAGAGCAGTATTTTTCCACATCGGAGAAATACTGCAACACTAGTTTGTTTCCAGACCTCCATAATTTGTTTAGGATTACTTTGATTTTATTCGAGCTATTTTTACTTAAAGTCAATCATGTCGGCTTGTGGAGGACACACACATTATTGGAATTAACCGCTTTCTTATTCACTTTCGGGTTCTTATTTTAGCAAGCATAATTGATTTATTTTCCACTATGTACGCGTTGTCGAATTTACATTTAAATTTTATGATATTGTGCAACAATATTATGTCTGGCTAGATTCCATGTACCGATATGTAAAACTTGATCGAAAGAATTCGGTAATTAATTGGCATTATTATTTTTACAAAAAAGAATACTTTTTTGGTTTTAATTTCCAATTGAATATTTAATTGTTTTTGTATGGAAGTAAGAAACAGTCTGAGGTTAAAATCAACAGAGCAGAAGTTTGAGATTTTAACCAGATAGTGATTATTAAAACATTGATTTTTAAAAACAGCAGAAGCACTTTAAAGTTAATTGGACCTTATTCGTTTTCAAAAAGTACTTTTGAGTTTTAAATGAAACAGCGAAAGCGCTCATTTCGAACTTAATTGATATGATCTGATTCAATAGAACAGAAGTTTGAGACGAAGGTTTTTAAACGAATAGTTTCACTGAAACTGTGTTTTAATACTAAAAACAAATTCCAATGACTTACTGAATCCCATAAGTTAATGATATATATACCGGTATCCCGTCATTAATTACTAGATTTTAGTTAATTCTCGATTAAACCCAAACTCCCAAATTTTATAATTAGCCTTAGCTTTACATAGTAACCTTTAGATAACAGTAGTTCTGACCATCAATCCTTGTGGTTTCGATATCTTTTAAAACTATGTGATAGACTGTGAACTTGCAGTCACTACACCCGATAAACCTACAAAGTCGCGATCAACACGATGATAAAATACAAAAAGATTTCACAAACAAACTTAAAGAAGTGAAGAAGAAGCGTGAAAGAAAAGACAAACGATCAAGAGGCATGGCATAAAAGCATATCAAGATATCATCTAAGTTTTGACTCTAACATATTAAACACATTAGATTATCCTATGCATGACAACAAAGGTTAAGAAGAATGAACTATTACCTAATTAGGCAAGTAGAAGCACATGTGTGCATTTAGAAGACAAAGCTTTAATACATGACAAAACATGCAAATAAGTAGACATCAATAGGCTGACACCCAAGTCTAAACATGGTTTAGGACACCACAAATTATCATTAAGGAATTATATGCTAACCAACATCACCTAATCAAGACAAGATCACATGATGAAAATAAATGAAACTCAAACAAGTGACAAGATAAAACTTGCATCTGGAAAGAAACAAGTGATTCCTAAGGGAACATGCAAAGAGATCGAAGTTGTTATCTCAATTCTAATTTAGTGACATTATTGATCGAAAACAAAGAAAAATGATAAAGTCCTAACGGGAACATGCAAAGATAGAAGTCGTTATCTCAATTCTAATTGAGTGACATCATCGATCAACAAAAGAATAAAGCCATGAAATCATATGGGGAGCATGCAAAGATCGAAGTCGTTATCTCAATTCTAATTAAGTGACATCATCAATCGACAAAATAATAAAACCATAAAATCCTATGAGGATCATGCAAAGATCGAAGTCGTTCTCTCAATTCTAATTGAGTGACATCATTGATCGTCAGTAAAGGAGGCAAACACAAGCACAAACACAAGTAGCAAATAAGTATGAAATGCTTGCTACAGGACTTTAAACAGCGACTTCGAGCACACGCTCTTTATTTCCTACTTCTCATGATATCTAAAAAATAATAAACATGCATCTCTATTCCTACTTCTCATGGTAAGATTAATTTAAAATGATACAACAATGAGAAAGTGAAGAAAACTCGAAAGTACCTAACAAAGAAAGTTTGTTACTTTTTCAAAACCACACAAATGATTAAAAAAAACTCTATAAAATATTTGTGGAATCTTCAGCCTATCAGTTAGAAATTATCCACACCAATAATAAGAAGCCAATAAAAATGGAAGGATCCAAGAGATATAAACAGCAGGTAGTAGGTATGCTGCAAGCAATAGAAATCTGATGCTAAGCCCAATCCAGAAATAATCCAATAAGCAAACTTTTGTTGGAATTCTTTTCATGCTTCAAAAAAAAAAACTTTTGTTGGAATTCTTTTCATGCTTAAAAAAAAAAAAACTTTTGTTGGAATTCTTTTCATGCTTCAAAAAAAAAAAAAATTCCATGGGTCCAAAAGGTTGGTGGTTCGGTCCACATTCACTCAAATTCAGTCCAACATGTTCATTATTATTATTATTTTTTACAAGAAAATTAATAAAAATGAAAAATATAAAACAAATTGAAAATTAATATATCAGAAAGAAAAAGGATTGAAAAGGCATGCTTCAGCTTCTTGCAAATGCATGAACGTTCATCTTCATCTCTCTCACTGCGGCGCCGCCAAGACGAACTTTCCGATCTACTCAGTCTACCGTCTGATCGATGCACTCTCCTCTTGGCGTGCTGACTCGTTACACAACAGCTTCATCGATTCAGCCCTCTCACGTTCTTGATTGCTTCAGCTCATCGTTGATTGAATCGCTATTCAGAGCGATCCTCCCTCACGACTATCGTCTCCAACGACCTCAACACAGCATCGCCACCGTTTGCCTTGCGATCACCGTCGACTCTCAAACTCTGAACTCGTCACTGTCTCTCTTTTTCGTTCAGTTAACAGCGGCTTCTTCTACGAATACAACATCTCCGCTGTGACAGATCTTCGACCGCATTTCTTTATGCTTCAAGCCTTCTGTGATCTCTTTTTGGTGATTCTCCAAGGAGTGTTGAAGAATGAAGATGAGAGGAGAAGAGAGAATTTTGGTGTTTTCTGTGATGTGATTCTTCTGAGCGTGAAGAATGAACCGTATCTGGTGAGTTATCTGTACTTGTATCTGTTATAGTTAGGATGGAGCTAGATCCTGATTTTATGTTAAGGAATAGATGGATAGGATTGAATCTGAATGAAAGCTTACTGAGCTGTTATTTTTGTTTCCACCATTTCTTGATTTAATGAATTTATATTTTTCTAATTCAATGAGCTGTAAAGTTTTGAGTTGGTTATGGATTTAAAAATCGGTTAAGGATTTTGCTTTTGTTTTCTAGATAACTGGTTTTGATTTATTTTTCTGTTTTGGGCTTTACAATGATACGTGTTTATATTTTCTGATTTGAATGTATTGTTGCAGCAACTCTGTTATTTGGGCTTTAGCAAATTCTGATATGCTTATTGTTTTTGAGATTTCTGGAATCTGAAATGTGGATTTGTTTGTAAAAACTTGTTTTTCTCAATGGGCTGGAAAATTGCTATTCTGACTTGTGATGTTCTGCTTGTTTGGGCTGGAACTTGTAAATTTCAGTACTTGCTGCTTTACTATGTTGGACCTGTGATGCCCTTCAGAATGCCGTGTGTTAGGACGTTGCTTTTTTTTAACCTCTTTTTATGAACCAAAATTGTTTATGATTTGCAATAGAGGTCACGGGCCTATGATTGAACATAAATTTTGATTTTGTTATAAAACAAATGAGGCGTTGATTGTTGCTTGAATGTGCTTGAAAACCACCCGCTAATTCTGATTCATACACAAACCCTTATGATGAATATTGTAAAAGCTCTCTTTGAAAAGTTCTTTTTCTCACTTTCTTGTTCAATGTTTTTGTTTTCCTACGAACCATTTATTCTCTTATTTCATGGGCAATGATGAGAGGAAGATGTAGAAGGCAAGGCAAAGAGGAGATTGTGGCTGCCATTGAAGGACTTGGATGGAAAGCTTGAAGTAAGAAGCTTGAATAAGAAGAAATCTTGGAGAAGAACCTTGAAGAAATGAAGAACTGCGTCTTATAAGATAACATAGAATTTAGAAAGCTTTTTGATTTGGTTTTGTAAGAAAAACTTGTATTTTGAACTTTGACCTTGATGTTGTAATTATTATGAACTTAGAGGTTTGAATTTGGAGAATGCTGAATGAATGTATCTTTGAATAATGAATGTTGGATTTGTAATGATCATTACTTTGCAAATGTGTTTGATTTGAATGTATATTCCCTTCACTTTGCTTCAAATTGAAATTTCCTTTTGTAAAACGTTCATGATGTAACTGCCTTTGATGGTAAGAATTCCATTTTGCAACGAGTTTGAGTCCAAGTGAATTTGTCATTGGCATGTAATGAATGAATTTTGAGAGAAAACTTGAAAGATCACAAAAATGATAAAGAGATGTTTCTTGCACGAATCTTGAATTCAAATGATACTTCTCTTAAGATAATTCAAGTCAAACTTCAAATTCAAAATTCAAACTTCTTGAATGAAACTCAAAGTAAACGACATATATCATAGACTAAGAAATGAGTCCAATCTTTCAATTGATGATCATGAACCAAATAGACTCTAATGTCACCCTTTAATACTTGCAGTCTCCAACCTTCAAATGAACTCACATACAAATTGATGATGTCCTTGAGGCATGAGAAGTCCTGATAGCTTGAATGATCAAAGGGAATAGAATATGAGAACCTCCTTAGACTGATTGACAACACAACCATTTTCCACAACTTGAAGAAAACCAGGAAGATAAGAATACCTTGATCCCGTCACAATGCACGAATATGTATGATGAAACATAAGTCATAAAAAGTTCTGAATTCAAGAGGATAAATTTTTGGGTGCAACAAGTTCCTGCAAAACAAATCACACCAAACAGGCCCCAAGTATAGTATGACAAAATTTCACTTGAGAAGGTTCCCTTGTATAAATATAGTATTGTATTGACTTGAGATGAATTGTCCTAGTATACCTTAAACTCTGAATAATTCTCCTACACAACTGGTTCATAGAGAGATTTGTCGAATCTCAATGTAACTGTTTCAAATTGATTGACCTTTGAAAATATTCTCCTTGAGAGGATTTCCTGAAATTTGTGCCATTATGGATAAGTTTCCCTAGTGTTATGTACTTCGGAAGCACTTCTCCTGACTAACAAATGTTGGAAGTGGCTTTAACGATACTTGGGTAACAAACCATGATTACTCGGTGCTTTGAGAGATTATTTGATTTCTTGATATAATTGCCCTAGATTGGCGAAATCTACAAACTTCATTCCCTTTAAGGGTACTAAAACACTAAAGCACCAAACTGCTTGCGCTTAACAAAGTCTCTGGACAACACGCCCCTTGATATTATCAATTCTCTTGAGACAACTAACTTTTGATTCAACAGAGTATTAAAGCCTATCTTCTTTGACAAGATTAAGCTCTTCATTGATGGACATTGTGTAAATCCCTTAATGTCAAGAAGTTGTTTTGCATGCAAAAGAATATTTATTATGAGAATGATAATTCTAATGCAACACTTATGTAAATCTTGAAGTTTTATGAAAAGACACTGCAATGTCTAGTGAACGTATCACTTTTAGAATACAAACTTGATAAAAATTTTCTGTTTATGAACGATAAAAACGAGCATATGATACCAACACAAATATTTTGCACGCACCACGGGAGTCGGTAAAACGCTATCTCGTTGTTGCATGCTTTCGAATTAACCCATGCTTCAATTATGACTTTTAAGGGTTGTAACATGGCCAGGTTCATGATTTTAGAAAAAAGGATTTAAGGCTCAAAATTATTTGGTACCCACCCATTATCCATGATATTCTCCAATCCTATGTTCAGTTAACTTGATACAAGCACTAATCTCTCAAGAGGATTTTGATATAGTTGAGTAACCATGAGGTTTTTTGGACACGACATTCACTCACCTTTGTTTTTTGGTTTCTGATCACACGACTTTGATCTTTGCTGAGGATTTTATTTTGTAATCCTTTTTCCAGGATTTTTAGTTTTTCTTTTTCGCTTTCCCTAACTTTTGCCTAGACAAACTCTTTTGGAATTTTGATTTTGAAGTCCAGCGGAATGCCCTAATTTTTTCCTAAGTCACTCGCTTTCAAGTTTTTCGACTTAGTGGGATTTCTTTCTTTTTTCGTTCATCATTTTTTATTTCTTTTTTTAACAAATCATGTGACCTCGAGTCGTTTTCGACTGCCTCATTCCTTGGTCGATGAGGGATAACCATTTGTGGTTTCATGACTTTCTAGACCTCCTGATGAGGGAATAACCATTATGGTTTTGACTTTTCTGACCTCCTAATGCGAGGGATAAGGTGTGGTGATCCTCAAATAGGATACTCCTTTTGAAATTTGAACGCTCGATCAGATTAACTAAACACTACCCTACCCATGGGTTAAAAAATGAGATTTTTTTTAACAAAAAAGAAACTCATACTTCAAGGCTCAAAGGGGTTAACGAGGATTTCACTCTCTTACATCTTCAGCGGGGGTCTTACTCAAAATCATACAAACCAAAGATTTTTGTGTTTTTCAATTGTCGTCATCCTCCCTCCAATCTTTTCCTAAGGCAAGAGACTTGGTAAAGTTGGTATCAATATGCAAGCAAATCATATTATGTGTGATAGCAAATGGATGGGTGTAAAACGAATGAATTACTTTAAGACAAACATATTCATTGCATTAAAATCAACATTAAAAAATAAACAAGTTTCTACATGCCAACAATGTTTTAAACAAACAAGCAAGAGTACAAATGAAAATGCAACAAAGAAATAAAAGATTGTCATTATAGAAGAGGCTTGACTCCGTCTGGACTTGTTGATCCAGAAGACTTTCTGCGGCATTGATACTCACTTTAGTACATGATTTTCATTCTTCTTTGTGTGAACACAATCGTCTTTGAACGATTAGGTCTTAAACCCTGTCTTTGAATAGTTTACAATCTTCGATCGCATGGCCTGTTCTCCCGAGTGATATTGTTAGAACATAGTTTGGTTATACATCCTTGTTAGAGTTTGATGATAACAATATATATATATATATATATATATATAGATATATATATATATATATATATATATATATATATATATATATATATATATATATATATATATATATATATATATATAGAGAGAGAGAGAGAGAGAGAGAGAGAGAGAGAGAGAGAGAGAGAGAGAGAGAGAGGAGAGAGAGAGAGAGAGAGAGGAGAGAGAGGAGAGGAAGAGAGAGAGAGAGAGAGAGAGGAGAGAGAGAGAGAGAGAGAGAGAGAGAGAGAGAGAGAGAGAGAGAGAGAGAGAGAGAGAGGAGAGAGAGAGAGAGAGAGAGAGAGAGAGAGAGAGAGAGAGAGAGAGAGAGAGAGAGAGAGAGAGAGAGAGAGAGAATAAATATGCTCTCTAATAATGTATCCTAATATTAAGGGAAAATTCAGATGTAAGAAGCATAGAAGATGAGAGAGTTACGTTTTTGAAGGCTCTGTTGTAACACATCTTACTTAGAAGCAAATCAATATAACACGCTTAAATGAAGAATTTCTAATGTTACAACTTCTTATTGCACCAATGTTGCGAGCCAAACTCTAATATTCTGACAAAGCGAAGTTCTAGAAGAATGAAAAAAGTCTATACGGTAATATTCATCTTATGATATGATCACAAGAAGGCAATGTTCTGATGCATTACAACTCATTTATTACAAATCAAAAAGTAACGGCTGGACCATTTTTGGCTCAGTCAATTGACTAATTGACCTAAAATCAATTGTATTGGGGAAAAAGTCAACTGTGGTCAATTTACAGTCAAACTTCATAATTTTTGGTCCATATCAACATTATGAACTCACATATGTTATTTGATCAAGTTTGGATTACAATTCCTCAAGAAATTTGATCAGATCATCAAAAGGGCAAAATGGTCAAAATTAGGGTTTTGATTGAGAAAGTGCAATTTCTGACTTTTGACCTAGCAAATGATTGATTGGTTTAAGTTATGATCTCAAGGTTTAAAATAATTCATTTTGACCTAATGGCATGGCTCAAAACACTCCTCAAGATCAATTGATTGATAGTTGATTTTCAATCAACTGATAAAAAGTCAACTGTACACTGAAAAGTCAAAACTTTGACTTTTGGGTCAAAATCAAGTACAAAGATCACAATTCATCAATACATGTCAAAATATGAAACTTGTTCATCAAGAAATCAAAAATTCAAGATTTCATTTTGAAAAGTCAAAATTTCTAAACTTAGAAATTTATCTAAGTGTTGGAAAATTCATATTTTTTTCATAACTTTGAGCCAAATTTTCACCATGATGTAAGATAATTCAAAGGAAACTTCCAACATGAAAGTTGTAGATCTCAATGAGATCTAAAACATTATAGAACATAACTTTTTATAGAAATGCATGTATTTCAAGTTATGATTTTAAGAAGACATGTTCATGAAACTTGAAAAACTTAGTGAAATTTTGCCCTAGTTAGGCAGGATT